TTCATCGATTACAAGAGCTTAAGTGTGAAATGAATAGATTTCACGAATTTTGTATGTACAACTGTAAACACGAAAATTCTATATTGAATGAAACAAGAACACGTATACAAAGTAGATTTGTATTGATGAATTTGTAGGGTTACAATCTCTATTTACAACTTTCCTCTGATTCAGTCTTCAAATTTGATGTAGATGCGTAGGTTGTGGATCCAAGGGTTGCGATGACTTGATCTCGGTCGAACAGTTGAACGATTGCTTCAAGTTTTGAGCTTTAAACAATGTGTGGATGGTCTTCACCTCAGGTTTAGGGCTGCGACAAAGGTGATGTTGATGTAGGATTTTGTTGATTCAAGGGTCTTGGTGACTTGATCTTGAATAGAATGTCGTTACAAATTTTGAGCTTGCAACAAAGTCTTGAAGGAATCGGTACAAGTGCTTGTTGATTCTTCAAGGGAATGCTTCGGCTTAGGTCGAAAGAAAGCTTTGGCTTTGGTTGAATGTTCTTTGAAGAGAGCTTTCGCAGCGTTTTAGCTTCAAAGATTTGGCAGAGGTTCTCCTTTTGTGAGAATTTCGGCCTTGAATGAAGAAATTGTCCACCTTGAATGTAGAAATTGCCGACCTTGAATATAGAAATTGTCGACCTTGTGCTTGTCTTGGGACCTTGTATTTATAGACTTCCAAAGCCGTGCCTTTGGGTGGATTTGGCTTGATTTGTGTTTTGATTTGTCCACAGGAGAATTTAGGCATGTTTTGTGTCTTAATTTCAGCCACTTGCCCTTGCTTGGCCGAATTATAGGGCTTTCTTGCTTATTTTGCGAGCAATATTTAATTCTTGCTTGTTTTGTGAAGTTAATTTAGCTTTCTTTCTGGTTTTGGGAGCAATTGGGCCCCTTGCCGATTTTAAGGAGATTTCTTCCCCTTTGTGGCATTTTAGGAATGCTTTTGAGCTTCCTTTGCTTGATTTGTGCCACATGTCATTGATGACTTGTTCATTTGTGATGAGTCATATGTCATGTGGAGCTTTGTGATGCATTATTTGTATGCAACGAAATTTACATGTCTACAAATGCCCCCACTTCAAGGCATGTTGTAGGCATGTGCTTGTCACATGTAGGAAACATGTTTTGAAGTCCTGTAATGTGAATATTCTAACTCAAGGGTCGTCGAGCCTTGATCTTGAATTAGTTTGCTTCTTCAAGGGCCGTAGAGGCATATGTTTTGAATTGAAATTATGAATTTCGTCAAGGGCCGTTGAAGCGTATTTCTTGAACGGAATATTTCTTCAAGGGCCGCTGAAGCTTGGTTTTGAATTAAATAAAAATTTTCTTCAAGCGCCGTAAATGCTTGATCTTGAACAAAACATTTCTTCAAGGGCCTTTGAGGCTTGATTTTGAAAGAAATGAAAATTTTCTTCAAGGGCCGTAGAGGCTTAATCTTGAATTAAACTTTTCTTCAAGGGCCGTATGCTTGATCTTGAATGCAATGCAAAATTTCTTCAAGGGTCGTAGATGCTTGATCTTGAAAGAAATTTTGGAAATGGATAAATCGGCACATACTTATTGTGTATATTGATTTTCCATAATTTTGACAAAATACATTTGGTGTATTTTGAATTTTTTTTCCTTGTGGTTGTAGGAAAAAAAAAAATGTTTTTCCTTCCTTAAGTAGGAACCTCCTTCAATTTTGGTAATGAGGGTGATTTCCTTCAAAGTGTTGGAAATCTTTGGTGATTTCCTTCAAGGTTTGGGAAAGATTTAATGCTTGTCCTTGGGTAAGTATGATTTGCATTTTTTTCCTTTCCCTTTTTCTATTCCACGGCAAAGAGGGTATTTTCCCTTTTGGTTTGGGTCCTTGGTTTGGGAAACACGTCATCTGATTTTCATGTGAAGTTTGAGGTCGATTTCTCTTCTGGAAAGTTCTGTAAAAATATGGGAAACGTAGTTTTATCTCTTATCGTTTTAGGCATATATCGCACACCACTAGGAAAAATCAAGAAAGCCTTCAACTCGTCATTTTCCCACAGCTGCGCAGTTCTGACTGGAAAACAACTTTTGCGGGATTAACTTTGAAAATTGGAATGTTTAGCTTTAGGGAAAATTATGAAATTTGGACACAACGATTATCAGCCTCTTAGCTTCCTTCTCCAATTGGCCTTGCATCAAAACTCATCTGGAAAGTTGAATTATCATAAAAAACGTCCTGCTTTCGTAGATTGGTTGAAACTTGCCATTTTTTGGTTGGAATTTGCTTCCTTCTTTTGGTTGGAATGTACTTCCTTCTTTTGATTTTCCTTTTTCTATTTGGTATGTACTCTCCCTTATAACATTAGGAAGCAATTGACCCCTATATATAGGACAATTGGGTGTGTGTTTTTGTCACAAAACACCCTTGTCGTGTGCTTGCTGCTTGTTGTTGCCGTGGTTGCTTGCTGTTGCTGATGTGGGCTACTTTCTTGGAGCTTGTTGCATTGCGTCACTTTTTACCACGTGGTGCTGTGCAAAAGACTGTAGTGGGGTTTTGCTGTGTAGTGCTTTTTGGTCGCAGTTTTCCTTCAGCGGTGACGTTGCTGTGTAGTGCAAGAAATTGCTTGCGTAATCACTGCGGGGTTACGTAGTGTGATTGCGTAGCATTTTGGTTTTCTTTGCTACTGTAGCGTGCTTTGAAGGACCATCTTGTAGCTGCCCTCTTTGCTGTGCTGCTCAAGCTTTGTGGCTGATTTCTCTTCGTCGTTGTGACTTTGTCATCGCCATCTTTCAACGCTCATGAAGTTTGTCTCTCATGTCTTTTGTTTTAGTGAAGCAATTTTCTTTCTTCTTGCCACCTCACTCTTATGCTTATGTTGCCTTGTTTTTTTGTTGCAACCATGGTATTTTTCAAGTGCTTTAAGAGCAATACCATCACCATTCTTGCGAAGGAAGGTGATTTGCAAGATAGGGGAACAACGTTGAAGCTTTGTGCGCCGTTGACTGGCCCTAAAGCGCTTGCTCTTCCTGTGAAAGACAACTCGATGCATTTCAAGTCGTGTTCTTTTGAAGTATCTTAGAAGGTGACATATTTTGGTCGACCAAATACGAAGAAGAAAAGGTGTACATCGATGATTCTTATCTTGAATCTTTCGCACCATGTTCGTGACAATCCGCCGGCTTTGTTTGAGCTTCTTGGTGATCGCATCCATAGCGCAGCTATGGCTTGGAATAGCACATTGTCAACTATTGGAGAAGCCGTCTTTGTTTTTTTTGCTCATTTTGTAATATGGCTTTGTAGCCAAATTCTTCCCTTAAAGAAATAAAGTATTCACATTCTTGAATTTGCTCTTTATTCTTCAAACTGTTTGTGTTTTTGTTGATGATGTGACTGTAATTGAGGTTTTAAAGTTTTAAATTGCCTATGTATCCTCGGTTGAGGAGGGATCAAGTCATGACGTAGTTCAAAGGAGTGATGAAATTTTTATGGTGATTTTGCTTTTCGTTTTGCCGTACATAGTTTATGCTATTGTGAGCCAAGAGTGTTGGGTGTTGCCTTTTAAGCTTGTGCTAACAAGGAGCATTGTGCCGTATGTAGTTTAGGCTCATGCAGGCGAGGAGCATTGTGTCATGTAGTTTAGGCTCATGCAAGCGAGGAGCATTATGCCGTGTGCAGTTTAGGCTCGTGTAGGTGAGGAGCATTGAGTGTTGCCTTTTAAGCTCATGCGAACAAGAAGCATTGGGTGTCGCATTTTAAGCTCGTGCGAATGAGGAGCATTGTTGCCGCCTTTTAAACTCATGTGAACAAGAAGCATTATGCTGTGTGTAGTTTAGGCTTGTGCAGGCGAAGAGCTTTATGCCATGTGCATTGTAGGCTCTTACGGGCGATGAGCATTTTGCCGTGTGCAATTTAGGCTTATATAGGCGATGAGCTTTGTGCCATGTGCAATTTAGGCTCATGCAGGCTAGGAGCTTTGTGCCGTGTGCAATTTAGGCTCATGTAGGCGAGGAGTATTGAGTGTCGCCTTTTAAGCTTGTGCGAACAAGGAGCGTTGAGTGTCGCCTTTTAAGCTCATGTTAACAAGGAGTGTTGTGTCGTGTGCAGTTTAGGTTCATGCATGCGAGGAGCATTGAGTGTTGGCTTTTAAGCTCATGCGAACAAGGAACGTTGAGTGTCACCTTTTAAGCTCATGTGAGCAAGGAGTGTTGTGCCGTGTGCAATTTAGGCTCATGCAGACGAGGAGCATTGTGCCGTGTGCAGTTGAGACTCGTGCAGGCGAGGAGCATTTGCTGTTTGGTTTAGGGGTAGTAATGCTTCAAGAATCTACCATTGATGGGGCCAATCTTTAAGTTGTCTTTTGCCATGATTAAGTAGGCGTCATTGGTGTATACCTCTTGTATTACGTAAGGTCCATCCCACTTTGATGTGAACTTGTTTTTTGTCTTGTGAGTTGTGATGATAGACCTTCGTAATGCCAAGACAAGATCTCCAGTTTGGAAAGACCTTGGGCGGACTTTCTCGTTGAATGCCTTAGACAGCCGTGCTTGGTATCATTCCAAGTGTTGTTGAGCTTCGAGCCTTCTTTCGTTGAGTGCTTCTAACTCTTGAAGTCGTAGCTTCGCATTTTCCTCTTCAGTTAAGCCTTATTGTATAGCCATCCTTAGTGAGGGGATTTGACTTTCGAGTGGCAGAACAACTTCCATGCCATATACGAGAGAATAAGGCGTAGCTTGGGTAGGAGTTCTATGTGTCGTCCTATATGCCCAAAGTGCTTCACTTATTCTTTCTTGCTAGTCTCTCTTTCTTCGGCCGATTACCTTCTTCAGGAGGTTGCACATCGTTTTGTTGAATGCTTTCGCGAGACCGTTGGCGGAGCATAATCCATGGCGTGAGCCTGGTGGCTCTGATACCATGTTAACTACATTGAAATGTTTGGGAATTGAAGAGAAAATCAAGAAGAAACGATGAACAGAAGGATGAACACAGAGATGTTAGAGAGAGAGAGAGAGAGTTTAGAGAGAGAAATATGATTTGTATTGATTGAAAGAATGAAAATTACACACTTTGTTTTTATACTAGTAAGCCTAACAACTCTAATCAATACTAATAAATTTGCTAAGTATATTTCTAACTATATTGCTGACTTGTACCCTTAATAGTGGGATCAATAACAATTTTCTCCAGCTCAACAGCATTCTATCAAGAAGTTGACGATTTCAAAATCACTTGCGCAACCATCGTACTCTACAATTTCCACTAGCTTGGGATAGCGATAAGAGCATTTCGATGCTTTCTTAAATCTCATTTCTCTTCTTCCGCATACTTGATACAACCGCAGCAAGGAAACAACTTAGTGTACATAGCACAAGAACAAAAGGTTTCAGGAAGTTTATATTCACATCTTTTGAACAACATAGCGCATTGGAATGGACTGGCAGCAAGGAGTCAACTAAATGACCAAGCAGCAGCGAGGGCTTTCGTAACTAAAATCTTCAGCATTCTGAAAAACGGAAATAAGAGATAAAGAAGGTACCGTTTCAAACTCAATAGCACAAAATTTAACACATTTTGTCAATCCAGCAGCAAATTTTAACCTTTTCATTAATTTTGTTTCACATTTTTCAATCCCAATGGTCAAGCAATCCAAGATGTTGAGTCATCTACTTGGATGCATAACTGATGTAGTAGTGGAGGAATTAGACATCAAAATTGAGTTGATGAAGCTTAGGGATGGCTTGATAACGAATAAGGTAAAAATGGAAAAACTAATATATTACTGTTAACTGCCAAGTACCGAAACAATCTCTAGATAAATTAAGTACTGCGCTCCTACTTTCTACAGTGGAAACTTTTGGGAGAGACAGGTATAACATGGCTCACTGACCTTTTCAATAGGATTTTGAAAACGAAGAAGATGCCAAATGAGTGGCGAATGAGCACTTTGGTGCCTATCTACAAGAATAAGGGCGACGTACAAAATTGCATGAACTATAGGGGTATTAAGCTAATGAGTCATACAATGAAGCTCTGGGAGAGAGTCATTGAGCATAGATTAAGGCAAGAGACACGGGTTTCGGACAACCAATTTGGGTTTATGCCAGGACGCTCAACCATGGAGGCAATCTATCTCTTACGAAGATTGATGGAAAGATATAGAGATGGGAAAAAGGATTTACACATGATCTTTATAGATTTGGAAAAAGCGTATGATAGGGTCCCAAGAGACATTCTTTGGAGGATTTTAGAGAAGAAAGGAGTACGAGTAGCATATATCCAAGCTATAAAGGATATGTATGAAGGAGCAAAGACTGCTGTAAGAACTCATGAAGGACAAACCGAAAGCTTTCCCATAACTGTAGGATTACATCAAGGCTCATCTTTAAGTCCTTACCTTTTTGCATTGGTAATGGATGAGTTAACACGACATATTCAAGATGATATTCCTTGGTGTATGCTTTTCGCAGACGATATAGTGTTGATAGATGAAACTCAGGAAGGGGTAAATGCAAAGCTTAACCTTTGGAGAGAAGTGTTGGAATCTAAAGGTCTTCGCCTAAGCCGATCAAAGACAGAATATATGGAGTGCAAGTTCAGTGCAAATGGAGGCCAAAACGAGTTAGGGGTGAGGATCGGAGATCAAGAAATACCAAAGAGCGACCGTTTTCGTTACCTAGGATCTATCTTGCAAAAGAACGGAGAATTAGATGGAGATCTCAACCATAGAATACAAGCTGGATGGATGAAGTGGAAGAGTGCATCCGGCGTGTTGTGTGACCGCCGTATGCCACTGAAGCTCAAGGGAAAATTTTATAGGACGGCAACAAGGCCGGCGATGCTGTATGGCACAGAATGTTGGGCGGTGAAACATCAACACGTACACAAAATGGGTGTAGCGGAGATGAGGATGCTTCGTTGGATGTGTGGGCACACGAGAAAGGATAAGATTAGGAATGAGGATATCCGGGGTAAAGTAGGAGTAGCCGAAATTGAAGGAAAGATGAGAGAAAATCGGTTACGGTGGTTTGGACATGTGCAAAGAAGGCCTACTGACGTTCCGATTAGAAGATGCGACTATGGGACAGAGGTTCAGGGCCGAAGGGGTAGAGGAAGACCTAGGAAAACTTTGGAAGAGACTCTAAGAAAAGACTTAGAGTACTTGGATCTAACGAAGGACATGACACAGGATCGAGCACAATGTAAGATTCATATAGCCGATCCCACTCAGTGACTTGGATTTTCCAAGTCTCCAACCGAGAAGTTTTCGTCACTCGGGAAATTAAGGGAACACTACCCCAACCTACATGCTCCACTCAGAAAGCTTCAACATACAAGCTTTAACAAAAGAAAATTCAAAGAACTTAGCGAAGAAGGCTTTGGTGTATTTAACACAATACGTTGAAATGAAGGAAAACTTATTTATTGATATCCCCGATAAGCTACAAATATGTACATATACATGAGTCAAAATAAGCACACAAGAGGGAGCCTTCACAAAGGTTGCTTAGGAGAAGTCTCAGCAGTCGGTAGAGCCCCAGAAAGAGAAGGCACCGGAGGGGGATCATTTGGAGCCTCAGTACTGGACAGAACCCTAGAAGGAGGAGGCATCAGAGGTTGATCATTTGGAGCTTCATTACGCGGTACAGCCCCAGAAGACGAAGGCAATAAATGCCTTTGGAACAAACCCACAAATTTCTGATGATCAAGTAAAACCTGACCATCAGTTTCCTTCATCTGGTCAAGCTTCCTCTTCATGTTTGTAGCATAGTCATGTGCGAGCCGGTGCAACTGTTTATTCTCATGCTTGAGCCCTCTAATCTCCTGTTTGAGACTCATCACTTCAGCCGCCAATGATTCAACTTGGCGGGTTCGAGCAAATAGGCGTTGGGCCATATTAGACACAGAACCTGCACACTGAACACTGAGAGCCAGCGAATCCTTAACAGCTAACTCATCAGACCGTTTGGAAAGTAGTCTGTTATCTTTGGGAGTGAGAAGGTTCCTGGCCACCACCGCAGCGGTCATATCATTCTTCATCACGGAATCCCCAACGGTAAGAGGACCAGTAGGGGAGACGAAGGATGGGCGCCATATGTTGTCTGGAGAAGGCGGGGTTGCCTCTTCAACAAGGTTCAAGTCAAAACGACGGTCGGAGGGGCCAGACATTTTCAAAGGTGTTGAAGAGAGAAGAGGTCGGACAAATCAAGATCTTAGAAGTGCAAGAATGAAGCTTCTACTGGTGGAGATTCAAGTGTGCTTTGGAACTTAATGCCAGCCCCTATAAAAATCTGCACTCGACGAAGCTTCAGAAATCGAAGAGGCGCCTGCTCAGAAATCGAAGAGGCGTTTGCTTTCTCAAAAGCTGGGCTGCTTAGAGATCACGAGGGTTGATCTCAGAAATCGAAGAGGCGTTTGCTTTCTCAAAAGTTGGGCTGCTCAAAGACCACGAAGGCCGATCTCAAAAATCGAAGATGCGCTCGCTTTCTCAAAAGCTGGGCTCCCCAGAGACCACGAGGGCCGATCTCAGAAATCGAAGAGGCACCTACTTTTCCAGCCTTTTCCAGCCTTGTCAGCACCTGTCACACGCACACTCAGTTTTGCGGAAATTATGGGCATTCTGTCAAAGACTTCTGGGGAAGTAGAAAACACATGAATCTTACTGTTCAATCACCCACTTCCCACACGCAACAATAGCTCATGGGTACCACAGATAACTTTGCCAAAGTTCTCTGCCAAAGTTGAGCACGTGAAGCTTGCAGCTCCCACTACATCGCTCTGACCAAGAAGGGTAAAAGAATAGCAAAGAAACAGCACTAACAAAGTTTAGACCCATAAATTTTGAAGGTCTAGCTACCATATTATTACCCACAAGGGTAAAGGAACAGTACCACTGCTGGATAATTGGAAAGTCCCTGTGTGTCAACCTCTGTGCTTCGTGGCAAGGTAGACTAGCAAACATGCCCAACCTTTACTCACATTCGAGAAAACACTCCCAATAAGATTGCTTGCTCCAAAATCGAAGAGGCACCGTCCTCCGAATCTCGAGAGCCAGACTCCCAACATGACTACTTTCTTAAAAATCGAAGAGAGGGTAAAGGAACAGTACCATTGCTGGATAATTGGAAAGTCCCTGTGTGTCAACCTCTGTGCTTCGTGGCAAGGTAGACTAGCAAACATGCCCAACCTTTACTCACATTCGAGAAAACACTCCCAACAAGATTGCTTGCTCCAAAATCGAAGAGGCACCGTCCTCCGAATCTCGAGAGCCAGACTCCCAACATGATTACTTTCTCAAAAATCGAAGAGACACTGCTCCCCGAATCTCGAGAGCCAGACCCCCAGCATGATTGCTTTCTCAAAAATCGATGAGGCATCGTTCTCCGAATCAATCGAAGAGGCGCTCGCTTTCTCAAAAGCTGGGCTGCTCAGAGACCACGAGGGCCGATCTCAGAAATCGAAGAGGCACCTACTTTTCTAGCCTTGTCAGCACCTGTCACACGCACACTCAGCTTTGCAGAAATTATGGGCATTCTGTCGAAGACTTCTGGTGAAGTAGAAAGCACATGAATCTTACTGTTCAATCACCCACTTCCCACACGCAACAATAGCTCATGGGTACCACAAATAACTTGTCAAAGTTCTCTGCCAAAGTTGAGCACGTGAAGCTTGCAGCTCCCACTACATCGCTCTGACCAAGAAAGGTAAAAGAATAGCAAAGAAACAGCATTAACAAAAGTTTAGACACATAAATTTTGAAGGTCTAGCTACCATATTATTACCCACAACTGTAAAGGAACAGTACCACTGCTGGATAATTGGAAAGTCCCTGTGTGTCAACCTCTGTGCTTCGTGGCAAGGTAGACTAGCAAACATGCCCAATCTTTATTCACATTCGAGAAAACACTCCCAATAAGATTGCTTGCTCCAAAATCGAAGAGGCACCGTCCTCCGAATCTCGAGAGCCAGACTCCCAACATGACTACTTTCTCAAAATCGAAGAGAGGGTAAAGGAACAGTACCATTGCTGGATAATTGGAAAGTCCCTGTGTGTCAACCTTTGTGCTTCGTGGCAAGGTAGACTAGCAAACATGCCCAACCTTTACTCACATTCGAGACAACACTCCCAACAAGATTGCTTGCTCCAAAATCGAAGAGGCACCGCCCTCCGAATCTCGAGAGCCAGACTCCCAACATGATTACTTCCTCAAAAATCGAAGAGACATTGCTCTCCGAATCTCGAGAGTCATACCCCCAGCATGATTGCTTTCTCAAAAATCGAAGAGGCATCGTTCTCCGAATCTCGAGAGCCAGATACCACAGACCACTTTTTCAAAGTGCTCTGACAGAGTTAAAACATGTGAAACTGGCAGCTCCCACTACCGTGCTATGACCAAGCAGGGTAAAGGAATAGCATTACTACTTGTTGTTAGGGAGACTCCTATATATGTCGACCTCCATCCCCAACGGACAGGCAGACCTGCAAAAATGCTCAACCCTTCATCATATCTGAGAGGGCATTCCCAACGAAGCCTTTCGAAATATTCAGCTTTCTTTCCCCCCGATAATACCTCTGCAAACAAGCTATACTAGAGCAAGAATATCTCATATCATCAGGGTTAAAAGCAAGAGTATCCCATATCATGCTTTTTCCCTGTCTTTTCTTTTGGCCTTGTTTTTACCTGCAAGACAAGGAGAAAGAGAGCAATCAGTCAGCACTTGGAATCAAGCTTCCAGCCAGGAACTGACTGCCTGGAACCCCTTACTTGATCACTTACCTGGCATTGCTCTCGAGTACTCATCTTCAACATCTTATGTTTCCAGGGAAGATTCCGCATCTGCTTGAGGAACAGATAGGGCAAGTGCGAAGGATACAAGGAAGCATGTGGAGACAAGCGTAACAGCACACGTGCCGATACATTCATTACTCTGTCAAAAGCAAAAGTATCCCATATCAGCAGGGTGGAACGTACTCTAGATTTGATGGACTTGTTTTGACCCTCAAATTCTTCAGTCGGCCTTATACTCTGGAGGAAACCAGAAAACCCTCCAGCTCAGTTCAAGAATAAGCCTGTGGAAAGTTACTTCTTCAAAAGCAAAAGTATCTCATATCATCTCTTCTCATTTTTCTTCTCTTTATCCTTCATGCTGCTGCAAGATGGGGAGAAGGTGAACAATCAGTCGGAGCTCTGATTGCTTACCTTGTCTGTCACCTCTTTCAGCAGACCCCCTAGCTCGGCGACTTGGGGGACTCCTACTACATGGTTTGTATCGCGCTTGACCAAGCCTGAAACTACAAGTAAGCTTCAAGTGAAATTGATACATTACCTTGTGCATCTCCACCAGTTAAAGATACCACCCCTGGATGGAGGAAGAGTACTTCCAGAGAAGATGCCACATCTACCTATGAGACAGATAAGGCAAGTCAAGACGACACCACACTCCGATACTTAGAAGTTTCGTGATTACGAGATCATTCTCCCACAATATTTCCTAATGTCATTTGTACTAAATCATTCACTTGTACTCACTAAATGAGAGCTTGAACCTATGTACTTGTGTAAACCCTTCACAATTAATGAGAACTCTTCTATTCCGTGGACGTAGCCAATCTGGGTGAACCACGTACATCTTGTGTTTGCTTTCCTATCTCTATCCATTTATATACTTATCCACACTAATGACCGGAGCAATCTAGCGAAGATCACAAAAAGCGATCGTTTTCGCTACCTAGGATCTATCTTGCAAGAGAACGGAGAATTAGATGGAGATCTCAACCATAGAATACGAGCTGGATGGAAAGAGTGCATCCGGCGTGTTGTGTGACCGTCGTAGGCCACTGAAGCTCAAGGGAAAATTTTATAGGACGGCAATAAGGCTAGCGATGTTGTATGGCACAGAATGTTGGGTGGTGAAGCATCAACACGTACACAAAATGGGTGTAGCGGAGATGAGGATGCTTCGTGGGATGTGTGGGCACACGAGAAAGGATAAGATTGGGAATGAGGATATCCGAGGTAAAGTAGGAGTAGCTGAAATTGTAGGAAATATGAGAGAAAATCGGCTCCGGTGATTTTGAACATGTGCAAAGAAGGCCGACTAACGCTCCGGTTCGAAGATGTGACTACGGGACAGAGGTTCAGGGCCGAAGGGGTAGAGGAAGACCTAGGACAACTTTGGAAGAGACTCTAAGAAAAAACTTAGAGTACTTGGATCTAACGGAGGACATGACACAAAACCGAGCGCAATGGCGTTCTAGGATTCATATAGCCGACCCCACTTAGTGGGAAAAGGCTTTGTTGTTGTTGTTGTTGTTGTTGGTCCTCCTCGTTTCCTTTCATCACAATTTTCTCCAGTTTAACAGCAGTCTTTGCAAAGAACTTGACAAGTTCTAACTCACTCGTGTGACCAACATACCCTACCAGTTCCAATACCTTGAGGTGATTATGGAAGCATTTGGGGGCCTTCTTATATTTTATTTCCCGTCTCTTGGATGTTGCGTACTCCTTCTGCAGCAAGGAAACAACAATTTAGTGTGTACATGCAACAGGAAATTCGAAATTCCGTTGAGTTTAGCTACCAGATAAAATTATTAACCATTAAACTTACAAGTCTTCATACATATTCGAATATGAAACAGTGGCAGGACAGGCTAACCATGAGTTTAAAAACGAAAGAAAAAAGGAACAACTTGTCATTTTAAAGATCTTCTTTTAGTTCTGTCCTGTGTTCCGCTCAATGGGTTGTACCAAAAACCAAGGACTCAAGGACATTATTAGGACAAAAACACAATCCACAGCTTCCAGTTACCACTAACAGTCCACTAGACACCAAAGTTCAATCTATTTGGTACGTTTTTTGTTCTTCAGAATCGGCAGTGGATGGAATGGAAGAAAAAGATCTACGAAGTTGAAACTTGAAACTGATGTTTGTAAACACAGATCCACAATACCCTGTAAAATGTTCATTATAGAAACCACCCTAACATCCATTTCACCAAAAATTAGATTAGCTTGATCAGCTACAAAGTAAAAACGTATATATAGGCAAAATGATCTAACAGGATCTAACACACAGCAGTAAAAAGGGTCGAAGAAATAATGGTAACACAGAAGTTCAACCTAAAGAGTCTAGCATACCAAAGGGTCACTCCAACTGTATAAGGGCATTATAAGTATGTGTGTGTGTGTGTGCACGCCCCCAACTTCAAGTTAACAAGATAATAGTTATCAATTGAAGAATACTTGAATTAGGTTCTAGAAACATATGATCCGTTTACCTCGTTTCATTACAGTGGTAAACATGACTTTGCCATTTTATATGAAAAACAATGTATGTTTCATAATGAAAGTAAAAGATGCATCACATAACAGCATGGTACTAAAATTTCAAAGCCAGCTAATCAATCTCATTAATACAATCACCCAATGTTCACATATAAAACCAAGCTTTACTGCATCAGAAAATCCATACCTTCAAGTATAACACAAGTCTGTGCAAGCAAGGAGATGCCCTCATGAAGCAAGTTAGTTGAAGAAGAGCAGAAGCATCATCTTCTCCCATTATTAATTCCAAATGCTTTAGATTTGCTAGTATAGGAAATACTCGATCCCTCTTGTACGACTGAAAGCCAAACAAAAAGTAAGGAACCAACGTAATTCAACAAATATATGGGAAATCGACACATGATAATTATATACACCAAGTACTCACCACTATTTCTTCACCAGTCAGTTTGAGAATCTCTAGATGAGAAAGACACCCCGAAAGTTGGGTGAAGACTACCTCTATGAAATTATTGCAGATACAGTTCTCAGAGATGGATACCTGACTAAGCCGCGGTACATTCCTAACAAGCAAGTGGAACTCATTTCCAACATAATTAAATGAAACAAGGTTTGCATTACAAATCTCAACGCTTTCAATATTTCCACATCGTTCAATATCTAAGCACTTCAATGCAATTGATGGACCAACAACCCTTAGATTTAACAAATTTGGGGCATGGAACACTGATAATCGTTCAAGAACTGGACAATTAGATAAGAAGTATTCAAGAACTTCTTGACCCACATCAACATAACTGAAATGAAGAACTTTGAGTGACTTAAAGCCAAGGTATACACAAGGGTTTAGGCTCAGAATATCACAATACAAGGCTGTAGAAGCAGAGCCTCTTTCAATACCTAAAAGTTCATGGGGAAAATTATAGCATGATTTCCGTCGACGATAAACACCATCTTCTGAGAAGTCCAACTCAAGAACTTGAGCTCTCTTTTTCAGTGCAAATTGAATCCATTTATTAATGGAATTTGAAAACCTATCATCTAAATCAAAAGCAACTCTGAATCGTTCAACGTTTGGCCAAGTATGCTGCTCCACCACACTATTCACCCAATCAACATACTTACAGATTTTCTGTTCTCGTTCGTCTCGATTGAGGTCAATCAAATTGCATAATGTTTTCCCGGCATCAAAGTTAAGAGTCCTTGTAGATGCCAACACATACCGCCACACATAATGCCATCGCTTAGAAAGGATACTAGTAGCTGCTGCTTCCTTTAGCGGCAAGAGGGTCAGTAAACTAACAAGAAGTTCATCAGTCAACTCACTGATTCGGTCTGCCAAGTTGTAGTCATACTTATTTTCTTTTCTCTTTCTCGAGTTGTAATCACACTTTGAATCGAGCTAAAAACAAAAGATAAAAAGAAAAGGTCAGAGTATTACAACGTAATCTTCTCTCTGTCGTCATTCTCTTAAATTACTAGATTGATTTAAGAAATAGAATAACCAAAACTATGAAAACAATTAGAAAACCAAACCGAACACTTCTTTGTTGTCATTCTCTTAAATTATTAGATTGATTTAAGAAATACAATAACCAACACAACTATGACAACAATTAGGAAATCAAACTGAACACAACCAAACTTTGAAATTTATGGAAGCAAACAAGAAAAAATGCTGCTAGAATAATAGTAAGATCTGGAAAATAAATGTGCACTTTTTATAATTTTATACCTTGTCTTGGGAAAATTAAGAAGTTGGTTGACACCCTGTTTCCTTCATTAAACTCACGTTGTTTTTACAGCTACTAACTGATCAAGTGCTTGGATAGTATGCAGTTGTGGTGGTATTAAATGCTCAGGAACGGCAGCGTGAAGAGCAAAAGAGATGAAGATTTTGGAAGCTTTTTCATTTTCTATGGATTCTGTAAGGAGTTCTTTTGTTAAGCAGGCATCCCCTACCCCCTATCAATTTATTTTTGTTGGTAAATTGGTTCAAAAGTCCTTTCAAGCTTAACAGGTTTTTAAGAGGTGAATCTTTATAAGAATGGCTCAATATAACAGTAAATCAAGGAATACATACGGTATCACATATGCAGGGAAGCTCTATGAAATAGGCTCTTCCTGTGCCAGAGAAAGCATTATGAAGTAGGCCCTAACTCTAAACACAGGGTTATAGAGCTTCTTGGGCATGGACAAGCATTCTTTGCAGGGCAAAAACTGTATACAGGCGGGACAATGTGGCAAGTTAAATCTGGTAATATCATTGACATATTGAATTCTCCTTCTATCATGGCTATCCCCAATAAAGTTTACATATATCCTAACCTTACTGGCTCCAAACTGCTCTTTTCCTACAAAAGTTAGTGACTTGGTTTAACAAGGATTGAATTTCTTGGTATCACATTACTATTCAGTTTGTAGCTTCTCCAATTGAGGAGGCTAAAGCAAGTCTGAAAGTGCTTCCCTGCTGAAACAACAATTTTCACAACGGATTGATAAAATCTTATGGAATATTGGATTATATGGAATTGAAGGGTTCTAATTCACTGCCAAAAAAAAACCTTATTTTTGTTTTAAATTTTAAAATGTTCATTTTTTAAAAACAAGAATTGTTAAAATTCCTCTTTTTTTATTTTTTATTTTTTATTTTTTAATAAGAAGAATGTTTGTTGTCATTGTATATTACAAAAAATTCAAAAAAATAAAAACAAAAACTATACAAGTAATTCATTTAATTTAATTTCAGGGCGAAGAATTTCTTACCTGCATTGCTTTTTGCTCTTCTGGGTTATGACCAAAACTCGTCAGCGAGTTTATCGGCAGTGAAAGATCAAGGCTTTATGGCTCAATGGATTTAGATTTGGCTAAAGATCGAGGCTTTGGATCGAATTCGAGCACCCAACAAAAGCTTCAGCCCGTCCCTTTCTCGATGGTGTTTTGCTGAGTGATGACAGCCTCTGTCCAGTCCAAGGTTCGCAACTGTTTGCCTGTTCTGTTCTTTTGTTCTTTTTTTGGGAAAATTGCATTTCAGCCCTGCAATGCTAGTACACCAACTTTTTAAACTAAGGTAAATTTTGTATATTATATGGCAGATCTATGATTTACAAATTGGATTTAAAAAGGGTAGTTGTAACGAAAAGTCCACGGTACTGTTTACTTTAACGAAAAACCACATTTTTACACTAAAAAGTCAAACCTTATACTATTCACTTTACCATTTATTTTGTCCTTATCATTAAAACTCAAAGTTTTCAAACTATTTTCATTAGTTTTCCTTTTAAAAAGTTGATATACCTAGAATTACTCAAATTCCTAACTTTGAACTCATTGACATTATTTTGGCTAAAGGATATTTGACTTATAATCGTTAAAAAAAATTGGAAAATCGATTATATAAAAGTATGATTGTGTAAAGGAAAATTTTATTTGAACTCATGTAACATTTTTCTACTCTCAGCTTAAATTTTAGATGTTAATTATCTTTTTTATCCCATTGCATAATTACCATTAAGTACAAGATGAAATTAATAATAAAACTAAAATTTATCAATAAACCCACACATTATAATTAAACTCCATCATGACTCCTTGTTTATCTTTTGTTCATTTCGGCTAAAACCCTATAACTTTTATAGAGAAAAACAAGTTTTTTTCAGTCCGAGGAAAGTGCTTCTATCATCTATACAATATTAGCCGTTGATAAGGAGTTGCAACCAGACAAGGTGAAAGAAAAATGTTAGTTTCCAATTGTAAGCTTTCAGTGCACTTTGAGGCTACTGAGGTGTAACACATAATTGAGAAGTTGGTGTTTGTGGAACTTTTCAAAGCAAAAAAAACAAAGGGTACTCTCTCTTTCATTCAGCATGGATAGTCCCTTGCATGTCGATCAGCGCAAACTTTGCTCCAGAGGTACCCAAGTCCATTCCGAGATAAAGCCGCTCCACCCCCCAACTGAAACACCCACTTGAGATTCATCATTACTGCTTCCAACAACCATTGGTACTGTTGGACCTCTTGGCCGCCATCTTGGTCTTGCATGCTCGTTCTTCACGCCATTACACAACCATTTCTTGAAAACTCCGTCTGTAGACTAAACATCCCTGAAGCATCAAACACTTAACAACTTGAATTTGATGCACAACTACTATAACTACTTGGTGTTGGTGATGAGAGAGAGAGAGAGAGAGAGAGAGAGAGAGAGAGAGAGAGAGAGAGAGAGAGAGAGAGAGACCATGTGTATGCATATGTGTATGTGTCGGGGATGACGACCATGGAAACATGAAGGAGGTTGCATTTGCAGCCATGGGAAATGCTATAAATGGGTGTAAAGATCATTTTACATTTTGAACTGGGTTTGGGAGGATAGTTTAGGTAATAACTCTGGGTTTAAAGAGATATTAATTCTTTAATAAAAATTAATATGAGTATAAATAGTAAGTTGGGTGTAGAGAGAGATTACATGGGGTCAAATAAAATTTCCCATGTTTCATTTAAATCAACAACTCCAAATAGTAATGAATGAGTAATTGTAACAATAAATTATGGCTTGCCTCAGTAATTTGCGGTGTGTAGCAAGGTACGGAGTGCCTCGTCAAATATAAACCCCACGAATTTGGCGTGAGAAAGATAAGCATTCATGGTTGCTGGTATTTTGGGATAGTTGTGGAATAAAGGAGGTTAGGGCTTCTAGTAAAGATGGCAACTAAAGGTGAAGAGGGACTTGAGGCAATGATCAAGGGGAGGGAGGTTAAGCTTGAGGGTTGCGGTTTTCCAGCACTTAGATATAGCTCGCTCTACTTGTTGTGCTTTACCTCTCAAGTGTATCGATGGTCTCAATCCATAGACGTAGGAACTCTTCAAACCCTAGTTAGGGAATCCCTTGGTCTTCTCGTCTCTTCTTGTTTTGTCAAGTCTTCCCTTATATTTTTCATTATTATAGATACAACATACCTCTTTGAAGTAATACTTTGGAGAGTCAGTAGCTTCGTGAAAGCTAGATAAACCGCTATGCCCAAAGCCTTCTCTTTCCTGCATCAAATCTCACAACAAAGCTCTATATTTTATCATGCTTCTCTTTGTTTTCTCCCTTAATTTCATGCAAGAGCTTTAAAAGGGCAGGGTTATTCCAGCATAGATCTAGGCAACGCTGAGTTTTGAATCTGGTTAGGTTTTAAGTGTTTTCGTCGGTTTGTAAAAAGGGTAGGAACTTCTAGTCTCACAGCCTTCCCACGTGAGATTAAAGATTGTAGGTTTAGATTTTGGTACTCCCAAGTAGTTCAAAATCTCTACAGACTTCAATTCCACATAGGTCGGATGACTTTTGTATTCGTCGATACCACAACCCACTCGGCAAGGCTCGTTATGTTGCATTTGCCTACTTAATCATATCTAGTGAAGAATATTTTAGCATAATTTGAATTAAAATGTTAATGTATTAGTATAAACTTGCTTCGATATAACCCAGCATGATGGATATGTTGATGGAGTTATGCCCTAAATGCCAATTTCGTAATGGGTGGTGCTCTGCACACACCCATTTTTACCTCTCATACACCCATCTTAATTTTTGGCTGTTGGATCAAATGAATTAAAAAAGATCAAGGGACTAAAATTAACAAGGGTGCGTAGGAGGTAAAAAATGGTGTGTAGGAGGTAAAAAATGGTGTGTGAATAACACTATCATTTTGTAATACTGGATATTATGTAACAACTCCATTTTAATTAATTAATAAGAGGGCAAGGTTAATTAAGTCATGAGTTTTGGCTTTATATTATAGAGATAATATATTGAATGACTCCATAGGATTTAAGGTATAGAAGAAATGTCCTAAACGAGATTAGGGTAAGGTGACTTGTCTTCCATTGTCACTTAGTCCTTAAACAAAGTTCCAAGTCGTTTAAATAATCAACTAGACATCGACTATCCGTAAAGGAACCTTTAGGAATTGTGATTGTCTTTAGGAGTAATTAGGTTTTCATCCTTATTTTTACTACTCTATTGATTAAAACCTTATTACTTTTCAATTTTTGATCAAGGTCCTTTGTATTAATAATATCATTAATTATTTCAATAATAAAATATTTTTTATTTCTAAATATATTCATTTAATATTAAAAATGTTACAATTAGTATATTTATATTTATGGCTAAATTTTTTATCATATATTTTTATTTTTAGTTTGTACCCATTTTTAATTTGCAACCCTTTTTTAATTTGTACCAATTTTCCTTTCAATTTTAATTTGTACCCATATATTAATTTCTTTTTGTGCCCATATTTTTTAAAGTTTTATTTGTATTGTACCCATATTTTTTTATTTATTTGTACCCATTTTTATTTTTGCTAAATGTACCCATTTTGAAGAATGTACCCATGTTTTGATACAATAATTTTTTGGTTATTTTTTATGAATGTACCCATGTTTACACACACACACACAATAGTATATTTATATTTTAATATTTGTAATCCCACAAATTATGTTTTTTATTTAAAATCTCATTACTATAAACAACTATAAATTTTAATTTTTAATTTAAAAAATATAGTAACGTACATAGAAATAAATTATCAATTAATTTTAGGGACTTGGATCAAAAATTGAAAACCAACAAAGTTTCAGTCAAAGATTATTCATAACTAGGGACCGCATCCAAAGTCTCCCTTGTCTTTAATACTTTGTATGCTTAAACTGGCAAAATAAAGGAAAATGTCAATTAAAAGTAGGATCAATTGGCGCCATAGTTGTTGTGACATACGTTCTAATACATATTATGATTGTGTAAATCCTAAGTAGAGATAGATTATGAATCATTTGAGATCTAAAAGATCTTTCCTAATAGACTTTGTATTACTTGGAGAGCAAGTTTCTATCATTCTTATTACTATAAATTAGGGGTGGTTCGGTATGGGATACCGAACCAAAAGCTATATACCAAATACCGAACCGAAAAAGTTCGGGATGAGATTTCAGCAACCGAAACCGATCCGAAATTTCACCTTTCCCGAATTTCGGTATTCCCGAATGTTTTTCGGTTTTTCGGTACGGTTCGGGACGTAGCCAACACCAACAATCTCCAGTGGCTTCTTCACAAGCCTCCTCCTGAGAGATCTTAATACCATTCTCCTCCGCCGCCTCCACCATTCTCAGAAAGCAATGACCACGGCGGCGACTCCGAATCCACCTAGCTCCTAACCCCACACCCACCCCTCTCCACAATAAAATCTTCTCATGCCATTTATGCACAAATCCTTCAGAACCCACATGCAAAGATCTGATCTTTTTCTTTGAGCACGGCAGCGACTCTGAGTCCACCTCGCTCCCAACCCCACACGGCCACACCCACTCCTCTCCACAATCACATCTTCTTATGCCATTTCTGCACAAATCCTTCAAAACCCACATGCAAAAATCCAATCTTTTTCTCTCGAGCTTCAGTGATCATCAAATGGAATTATTTGTTGTGGGTTATGGATCGTGCCTGCGCAGCGCTGAGGATTCGTAACCCAGAGACGAGAGAGCTTCAGAGAGGATAGAGAGAGAAATGGGTCGAGGCCAGAGACGAGAGAGCTTCTTCCTATCTCTGCTTTCCCAACACGAAGACTGCTTCTCTCTCTCTGCCTCAAGAATCAAGTTTCAAAACCAAAACAAAAGCTTTGTGATTTTAGTTTCCAAAAAAAGCTTTGTGCTTTTCTCCCAAACCGACAAGGCATCACCATCACATGCCTTTTCCATATTATTTTATTTTTGTGCCTTTGCTAGTGGAACCGAAAGGCTCTGCTTTTTATTTTATTTTTTCATTGTTCTTTGCAGATGTAGCGCTGGAAAGTAGGAACCAAAGGCAAAAGCTAAAGAAGATTTCGGGACTTCGGGAATACCGAAGAAATGAATTTTGAAAACAAATCCCATACCGAATTTTTCGGTATTTTTCGGTACGGGATTACCAAAGTTCGGGATAGTTTCGGTTTGGGATTTATCGGTTTGGGTTTGGGATTTTTTCGGTTTGGTTTGGGAATTTC